TATATGTGTATAGTGTATATATGTGTATAGTGTATATATATATATATGTATATGTATGTATATATGTGTATATATGTGTATAGTGTATGTATATATATATATATGTGTATATGTATGTATGTATATGTGTATATATGTATGTTTGCTAATGGCTAAAGCAAGTGGCGTAATGCTTACGTTAATGTATTCTCCATGGAGGAAACATTGACCAATAATTAACCTTAATGTCATCACCACAACTGTGTCATGGGAGTGTGCAGAACCTGTTCTTGTTATTGCACACTTAGCTTTAGTGTGTGTGTGTGTGTGTGTGTGTGTGTGTGTGTGTGTGTGTGTGTGTGTATGTGTTTGTGTGTGTGTGAGGGGTTTCAATGTTAAAGACTATAATTGACCTTAATTGAGGCTCTGTTTGTTATTTCTGCTGCTTCAGCGGAACTAATAACTGAGTATCGTTCATGTCTCTATTGTGTAACCTTATTAAAGGTTGATGATCACCGTAGTGGCTCCTTAAAGAACTGTCTGTCACTCTACTTTATGTTGCCTGTTTTGTTTCCTCCTCAGACGACTACCCATCGACCCTCAACGACCATCACAGATCTTCCTCCATCCCCATCTCTCCCAGCCCCAGAACCCTCACTGGCTGCCCCTCTCCCACTGTGCCTCCGGCCGGCCAATCGGTGCCCCGCATCCAGACTCCACTGTCGGACCCCGGCCGACCGCAGCCTCCGCTGCAGGTGGCGAAGGAGTGTCCACAGACTGCCAAGTCGCCCAGCGGGTCGAGGTCTGGCACGCGCGGCACCGGCGGCATCGGCTCGGCTGCCCGCCCTCTCAACAGGAACAAGAAGCAGAAGCTCGGCACCGCCAGCATCGGAGGGCGAACGGTTGCTAAGCAGCCAAAGAACGGACGCCAAAAATCAACCAATGGCTGGCAACCAGTTGGCCTGCCCTTTCAGAAGGAGGTTTTCTCTGTGGTACGTAGAGAAAGCCATGCTGGTGCTTTCTGATGCGGCCATGACGGTGCCGCTTGTAATTGCATGTGGTGTCATTTAACGGGCCTGCCTTGTCCTAAGAGAGTGTGATTTATTACACCTGCATCTTACACCAGCTGTTTCACTGTATGTTGAGTTTTGTCCACATTTCTGTTGAGGTACAGAAGTCATTCAATACAAATCACATTTCATCAGCGTCTGGCTGCTTGAGGAGTCAATATTTCCTGCTGCCTGTGTTCCCAGGGAGAGGAGGCTCCGGTGCTGAGGAAGTGTTTCGAGGGAGTCCAGAGGGACGGGGAGCTGATTCGGGTCAGAGACACTGTTCTGCTGAAATCTGGACCGAGAAAGAAGTCTCTGCCTTACGTAGCCAAGATCTCATCTCTGTGGGAAGAGCCAGAGTCAGGTAGGACACCTACTGTACACAGTGTTGACTTCCAGCACACGAGAAAGCTGAATTAATGCGGTAATAACCGGTTGTTTGTCTTCAGGAGAGCTGATGATGAGTTTGTTTTGGTACTACCGTCCAGAACACACACAGGGGGGACGCAATCCCAGTCTACATTGTGAGGTGAGGTTTTACGCCTTTTTTTAAAAATACTGGTTTCTGATTGGTCTGCAAGTGTTGGACGTAAAATCAAACATAGCTCCAGTTAACAATCTGCAAACAGCTTGTAAATCAGTGTGTAAGGTTTATTTAACTGAATGTAAGCATAGCTAGAATATTTATGCTTCATGCCATGTTAGCCACGTCTCTTAAGTGGAAAAGTGGAAATAAGATAAACTGACTTTTAAAACACAATCTATTATACCCATCTCTTTATAATTTATTTATTTATTTATAATACATCTTCAGTAGGAACAAATGAGTCTGAGAACCACAGACAGAGGGGAAGTTGGAAAGTACTGAGAAACAGAGTACGGCATTGTTAGTTTTGGAATTAGATTTTTGTTGATGTAAAGTATACAGTGACAACATTATCTTTTAAACACAGTGTCTCTCTTCTGTTGGCTAAGTGTACAGGGTATATTCTTGCTTAATTCCTTTTTCTAATAAAATATTTTCCTGTCGGATATGAGAATTAGTTTGCAACACAACATAACACACTAATGTTTTTAGCAATTCATCTTGAGCCTCTCTCCATTCACTTCTGACTCAGAAAGTGAAAATGAGTTTGAAAGAGATGAGTATAAACAAACAAACAAACACACACGTACGCTGGCAGACACACATGTTGACGAGCAGCTTCTGTTGTGCTTGCTTCGCATTGTCAGTAATCTCCCAAAGGACCAAGTTGCACTTTATTTAATCTCTAGAAACAATAAACCACACAACTGTCATTTCTCGGCTGAATTTACAAACGCATCAGAGCAGCGGTGTGAGAACAGTAGCAGGGCTTTGTCTCTGAGGAAGAAACATCTTGCTCCTGTGACTCTGTCTCGCTTCTACTCCATGTCTGGAAGGCACAAGTGCTCATGTGCAATGAAGTAAGGATTAGCAGAAGTGGACTGTAATGTTAATAATTATGTCTTCTTTAGTGTGAAATCACCTGAAAATAAGAATCGTTGTGTTTTCGTTACATTAGAATGAGCTGTTTATACATTTACTGATTCACAGAGTCCGCCATGTTTCTACAGTAGCCCAGAACGGACAAACTAAACACCGGCTCTAGATGGGGCCATTTACATTTTGTGTCGACCACTCCTGCTACATGCTTGGCACACAGGCGAAGTTTTTGTTGGTTGAATCTGCAACCTCACCGCTAGATGCTGCCAAATGCTACACACTGCACCTTTAAGGGATCAGTTGATCATTTTGAGTTTTAGTTTTTACATGACTGACACTTTCTTTCTCCAGAATGAGATCTTTGCGTCTCGTCACCAGGATGTGAACAGTGTGGCCTGTATTGAAGACAAATGCTATGTCCTAACATTGGCACAGTTTTGTCGGTAAGAGAGAACATTTTGTGGTGGCTTTCTTTGAAGTGTATTTCTTGCATTAAACATGTTTCCTTAGAAAGATGACATAGTCCTGCTGAGAAAATCCTACAGCGCTGGTTTTGAAATGCACAATGTTTAACATAAAAAGCAGGCTGTTTTTTCTCAGTCCCTCAGACAAGTTTGCTCCCATGAAACATCTGTTTTCTTAAATGCTTTTTTTAAGACGATTGAGTTTGATGTCCGACTATTTGTGCTTCGTCCAGATTTTGTGCCTTGGTAAAACGCCATAGGGAGGGCGTGCGCGACTGTGCCGCCTCCTTCGTGGTGCCACCCATTGTCGGCAACGCCATGCCCACCCACCACTGTGTGCCCGATGACGTCGACCCAGAGCTGGTGTATTTCTGTCGACACGTCTATGACTTTCGCTACGGACGCCTCCTCAAGAACCTGCAGTAGCATCTGACGGGGGCATGACACGTGATGCTATTGGAAGTGAGATAATCTTATACACCTTCCACAACTTGTTATTGGATACACACCTACCTGCTGCTTGTGGGACAGGAACTGGAAGTTTAGAATGAAGAATTGACAGATGAGCTTCATTTGTTTTAAAATCACTTGCTCGTACTTACATACCACACCTTTTATTTAGTAAGAGTAATACCCTGACATGTAGTATAACAGTTAACATGGCAGTGTAATGGTCTTTGTCATACATGGCTCTGTGGTGTCGTAGCAGCTGTTTGGAGAACGTGGAACTTACTCTGCTGTAGAAAATGCTACTGTAGCTCTTAGAAATGTGACATTTGATGAGTATGAAGAGAGGTTGATGTTACATGTGAAATATGTTACTGTCTGCCTGACGGATATCAGACACTCGGTGTGTCTCAATGATACGCCACAGCTGAAGAACATTTTAGGCATGTCGTGCCGCGTTGGCCCTTGAGAGGAGACAAAGAGATTCCTGAGTGGCTGAAGATTCAATCACATTTGATATTAGATATATTCTGCATACAAATGTTTTACAGAGAAGCTCCAGTGAACATCTGTGTTCAAGGTGTTTTTAGGGAATAGTTTTTGGGGATATTTTTTGCTTTCTTGACAAAAGTTAGATGAGATAATCAATGCCACTCTTGTGTCTGTATGGTTAAATATGAACCTAGTGCCGGCAGTGCACTGCACCCTTTAGCTTAGCATCGAGACTCAAAACTGGACAGGGTCTGGCTAGCTTTTTCCACCTGTTTCCTGTCTTTGTGCTGAGCTAAGCTTACTGGCTGCTGGCTACAGCTACATATTTACCAGACAAACATGAGTCATATCGAGTTTCTCATCAAACTCTTGGCAAGAAAGCAAATGTCCCAATTTTCAAACTGTTCTATGATTTAACATTTCCATTTCCATGTAACTATGATTGACCTGTATGTCTTTCTAGTGAACTCTTAACCACAGCTGTGAGGAGAGTTCTTGATCAGAAGGTTTGATTAAATCAAATTCAACTCTGTTAACACTGATTAAGTACAGGCGCGGCAAACAACGAAACGTGGACATTTTTTTTAGCTCCACCTCTCTGTTTTCTTCCTGAGAGAAGTATGAATTTTATGTAACTCTTCGATTCACCTGAATGGTGATTTCCTAACATAGTACTACACTCTACAACGAAAGCACACTTCAGTTAGTTTGGCTTTTTGCAGTGTGAAGACGTCCGATGAGCCGAGCATTGACAGGTTTTTTTTTTGTTATGCCGATGCTGAGGAATATTTTACCTTCTCAAAGCTGATTGTCAGAGGAGTAATATGACTCCGGTGTCAGCTAACTGTACATTTGCATTTATATATCTGGATGAGTGTCTGTTCTGTTTGTGGCAGATGGCAGTTAGTCACCTATATTCTTGTTTCTTCACCGCTGAGATGGTGAGTAATGTATTCAGTGTAGCAATTAGATCTGTGATGATGATGATGATGATCCATTCCTATGTTTGAGAGAAGATATGTATTTATTTCTGTACTGAGAAAATATAATTTATTTTCAAAAGATAATTTTAAAGAATAGAGTTTTAGATGAGTGGCTTGTATTCCTGATTATAAAGGAGGTTTCTCCTTCTTAGCTGCACTGTCTACGATGAAATGTGTGAGTCATTCGCAATAGTATTTCTGTGACTGAGCTTGCTTGCCTAATACAAGCCTATTAAATGTTGTGTTGAAAGTGTTGCAATCCTCCGGGCAGATGCGAGGACACATTTAGAAGGATCCCAGATACAGTTTGAAGGACACCTGCTAACATGTGACCAGAGATGCTTAACCTGCAGGACCAAAACGTACCTTGGCCTCTCCCAGCTTCCTGTCACTTCTCCTGAGATGATAAAGCTTTGCCTCGTCACCTTTAAATGCCGAATGCTACAATGATTTAAACCTACCTTGCCATTAGCCTGTGCCCTTGATCTTGCTGCCTTATAGAACATTCCCAGCCTTTCATTTAGAGATGTGTGCTGATATCAGCCTCGGGTAATGAGGCTTCTTAGTGTGCTGTATTGATTTTTCTCATCTAACTCTCAACAAGAAAGTGTATTTCCCAAAAATATTGAGTTTGTAGTTTTGTGCTTCTCGAAGAACAGCGGCTGCAGTCCGCTTGAACTCCATCGGTTGGGATGAATTTCAGTGGTTACAAAGTTTTCATGGTGGACAAAAAGTATCAAAATGTCCACAGAGACTTTTCTAATCCGCTTCTTCGTCATAATCCACCTCTCAGCTGTCCGTCTGTATGGTTATTATGTTCCCAACAAAAGACACAACTTCCTGGCAGAGCTTCAAGCAGTGAGGAAATGGATTATGCCGTTTGTGAGTGTTTTAATTCTTTATTCTGCTTTGAAACTTGTCACCATTTCAATCCTTTGTGTCCGACACGTTTTAAGGTCCCAACCGCTGTTCTTCATGAACTGCAAACTATTTACAACTACCTTTAAACCACAGGGGGTCGTTGATTGTGAAAATATACATTTTGGGTGGAGTACCATTTGAAAATGCCCACATCCTGCCTACTTCTGCTTTACTTTTTGTACGGAGGGTTGGGTCCATTACTTTTTGACTCTCGTTCGTTTATTAGACCCTGACATTTTGATCAAAGCAAAGGTTATCCGTTTGTAACACAACTAAAGCAAACCTTCACTGACTGGAACATTTAATTGAACGTTGATGGATGGTGGACAGACAGTATGGAAGCCCACAGAGTACAATCCAACAAAGCAGAAGTGGGTTTTATTTGGTTTTATTTGGATGTTCAATTTTAAATCCCCCTGGAGGTTCTGGATCAGAGTTAGAAACCACACACAGTCCATGTTATGGCCTTAGGAATCACTCTGCAAACTAGTTATGTCTAATCAAGATGTGTGATACTTATGTCTTAATTGGTCCTCTGTGCCTGTTCCCATCAACCCGTATTTACTCCGAATGTTTTCCCTGACGAGAAGGACGAGCTGTTGTTTTCACCCACCTTCCAAATGCCTTTCATTGTTGCCCGATGACGCTGGTCTGATCTTGAATCACCACAAAGAGGTGTTTGCACCAAAAAGAGAAAGACGGGAAGGTATCGAAACGTGAATTTTAATTTCATTCCCAGGTGTACAAAAACAACAACAACTATACTTTGGTTCTTCTGATGTGAATTTATGTTCATATTCTTTGCATGGCGTTTTTGGAAATATCTTGGAAATATTAACCACAGCACAGATTATTTGTATGGTTTCAAATGGACCTCTGTAATATAAGAAAAATATTTAATTGTAATAAATAATATATGAGTTTGAACATGTGTTTGGAAGCTTTTCTTATGGCTTATATCTAGTTGAATTGGCAAATACTCTAGCCAAGGGGAGAGCTGTAGTAATAGTTGTTGCCCACATGGGGGCTCACTCAGCCAATATTTGTATATGTGATTGGTTTTATCAAACGCAGTCATCTCAGCGATCAGAACACTGAGATTTAAAAGCAGTTTTCGAAAAATATTATTTTGTGTCAAATATTGCATTACAAAAATGCTCTATAAAGGTTCATGCAGGACTGAAAATGCATATTTGAGGTAGAAAAATATCTACAATACAAACTTAATTAGGTTTGTCAGACTCCTGTGTTATCACAACTGAATTAATTCAATGAATCAATTCTCACATCTAGCTCTCAACTCTCCTCCAGTCAGCCACCTGGTTCTTGTTTGTTCAATTAGAAATGTATGCCTCCATTTGAGAAAGTTTTACAATTTCAGCGATGAAAGGAGACTCAAACCTTTCTGCCACATGAAAACTACATATATCATCTTTATTTTAACTTAAATCTCAAGTAAAAAACACATAGAAAAATAATATTTAATCAAAATCACAGTTATCCTTTTATTAACTCACGCCTTTCCCCTTTGTTTCTACTTTTCTTATTCATTCATCTCCTTCCGCCGGAAATGACAAGGATCCTATTTATTTATTTATTACACTGCGTAGATCATGACAGGAAAAACAAGAGTGTGAGCATCAGAAAGCCGACACGAGGAGACATAAATCATCTCACTTCAATAATCAGTCCTCTGATGAATATGTATGAGGCCTCTAACACTACTCAATCAGGTTATGAGGTTTTAGATGGCAGGTAAATCATTTGCATCTGAAACAGCAAGCGTGTGTGGGGAAAGAGTCAGAAAGAAGAGCCAGCTGCTTCAATTCACCTATGATTTAGCAGTGGTGTGTGTGTGTGTGTGTGTGTGTGTGCTGTCTCAATGAGTTGTGCAGGGAATGTGTGTTTATGACATTGCTACTATCTCTTCTGGATGTCCTGGTCCTGTTTTTTGTGTTTTTGCAGTGACCGCCAGTACAGAATCAACATGTCTATTTAATCGATTATTCCCAACTACGGGTACTTGCATGCGAAGGGGGCACCTCTGTATAAATGATTGTGAAAACGAACGAAAAAAATCAACCAAAAATATTTTTTTATTTATATATTTGTGTTGAGATACAATTACCAATCACATAAGATTACAAATGTGAGCTAACGTTTTAACCGCTAAAGATAATTAACAGTTTAAAATGCTAAACGTAATGGGTAACCTGTTAAAATACCTAAAATGAATGGATAAATGGTTTAGTCCACCAGGTACAAATACAAACTTCACTAAACCGACATAATCAATGTTATGCAAAAGATATAAATTGAAATGAACATATTTGGAGCATCTGATAGAGCTGTGGGTGTACCTCATACAAAAAGGGATAACCACTAAACGTTGTTTAAAGGACAAAATATTTGAAAGGAAGAAAAAAAAAAAAAAAATTTTCTTACAAAGCCTCTCAAAAAAGGATTTAGTTATGAGTTGGGCTGAGAGCATGTGTATACCAGTATAGAGGTCCTGAGGTCTTTAAATTACACACCTGCATGGACTGACTCATTCCAATTTTCACCACTCTCCTGTTTTTTGAAGCTTTCCTGAGTACAGCTTTATACACCAGTGATGTACTGAACCACATGCGCACAGCTGCTTTAGCTTTTAAAAATTTAAGATTATTCTCGCAAAGATTTGTCAAAACAGATTTGTTTCTCCTGCTGCTTTGTTGGTCTGCACAAAGTCCTCTCCACAGAAGAAAGATATTCAAGATTTTAATGCTCAATCAAGCCCTCATTAATGTTTCTGTTTGTTTTCTGCCTACAGTGCCCCCTCGAAAGAGCCTTGTGAGTCTAGAGGGATAACAAAGTACTACAGTTGCAAATGACAGCCTGCCAATTGTTTTCTTCAGCTCAAAATGCCCTGCAAGGTTATTCCAGAATTGTCTTGTTTGTTTATTTGTATCATCAGGCAGCACAACATCACAACAACACCATTATCTTTTAAGAATCGGTTTACATTGTTTGTCTGCTCGTGTTGTTTCATAGCTCTGTCCTTCTGAACATTACAAATGCATAGAGTTCAGGCCAAAAATCCAAAGCACCACCATCTCTCCTGAATTTACACCCACAGCACACAACTACCGGTACTTCACTTCATCAACATCACTGACATTTGCATATAAAGACTTTGTTAAGCCTGCTTGTATTTGCATTTTCATAAAGGATGTTGACAACACAATCAGACATGAGGATAGCAAGGTGAATAAGTAGATTTGCTTACAATAAATTGCACATGGACCATGTTCAAATCGTTTAAATAAGTTTTTCTACCACCAATCTGCCCTCAACATCCCATAGTGACAAAGCGAAACCAGTATTTTAGAAAAAGAAAATTGCGAAAACTGAAATATAACATTGACATTAAGTATTCGGACCCTTTGCTATGTAGCTCAGGTGCCTCCTATTTCTCTTGATTAACTTTCATCGCTGTTTCAACACCTTGATTGGAGTCCACCTGTGGCACATTGAATTGATTGAACATGATTTGTAAAGTCTCGCACTTGTCTATATAAGGTCTCACAGCTGACAATGCATATCAGAGTAAAAAACGGGTTGTGGGACTTTGATATACAACATATTTTATTATTGCAACGCAACAGAGTGGGTGGTGTTGTTTGGTATACAGCATGGTCGCACAGGACTTGAGGTAGCAGGTCAGAAAATGCTGAGAACTCTGCAATGGTGCATTTTACTCACCAGACCACTTGTTTTCAGGTAAAAGTGACTCGGGTATCTTGTAACATATGCAGAACATTTGCCTAAATTAGGTAAGCAAAATGCACCTATAGCGGTAAAAAGTTTTTTTTAAAGCAAACTCAACACAAGCTAACTGTCATTATTTTAATTTCCCAATTTATGAAATGTTGACTCTTTTACTCTCTTTAGTGTTTTAAATATCCTAATGAACGATATAGATGGTTTTTATTCTCTCACCATCTAAAAGTTGACATTTACTCAAGCTGCAGAATTGGCATACAGCGGCAGCAGAGAGTGTGAAAAGCGTCCAGTGGCTCAAGGCCAAACCGAATGACAGAAATACATAATTTATTATCACAGAAACTCTTCATGTTCCTGTTTTATCACACAATGAATGGCGAGGGGACAATGATTTAAATAAACATGTTTATTGAATGAAATTCAACAAAATAGAAGATAAAACACATGTAAAACACCTATACAGTTATCCAAATACACCATCAGTTTAAGTTGACAGGAATGGCATAAAACATTTAGATTAGAACAGCATGCTTTTATATATATATATATTTTTAAAAAAAACACGTAAAGTAGTAGACATGCTCAAGAATATGAATATGTACAAGAATTAGATGAAAAACTATACATTGTGTATTTTTGCAAAGACGAGCAAAATCACTGTTTAAAGTATTTTTCAGGACTAAATAAACTTTCAATACATAAACCTCCACACATTTGTTCAAAATATAAATCATTACACAACACGGTACATCCTTTCAAGCAAAGCAGGTCAGTGTTTTTACACCTGTAGAAATTCAGTCAAAGAGACGGAGCTGTGCATTTTTATTTATGACTATAACCTGTTTTATAAAAGCCTTGCCACTTTGTCAGTTTTCGAATTTCAATGAGCTTTAAATTAATTTAGTTTCTTACTTAATTTGCCTGTCAGTATAAACACTGACCAGATTCAGATTAAATATGAAGTAAAGAAGATACCCTGTGTCCTTTCTGGAAAACAGCAGCAGATAAAATTCCTGTGCGTATTCAAGAGAAACAACTATTAAGCATAAATGTCTTGAGGAATAACGTTATTTACAACAGCACCTGCTAAATCTGCAACAATCGTGGAGGTGTGAAGGCGCTGCACTCTGTGTAACATCGTCAGGGTGCTTGACCCCTGACCTCTGTCCTTTCCTGTTTTTCTCCTCCGGAATAGGAAGTGGCTGCACAGGTAGGAGAGGAACTTTTTGTGCAATGAGGCGTAAATAAAAGGGTTGTAGCAGGTGGAGCTCATGGCGAGCAGGTGAGTGGACACCTGGATGATGTTAACGTAATTCTTCCCTAAGATGGAGAAGTCTGTGTCCAGGTCACGGATCAGATTCACCACCTGTGAAGTTAAACAATGTTTAGCACTCAGCATTCATACAAGGAAAAAGTAATTTGGTAATCAATTCAACAATTACATTCTTCAGAAATTTGTTATAAGTATCACTTTGCTAATTTTAAACTTTTCAGTTGAAAGATTGATAATCACTGAATGTTTAGTTTGTTTGCTTTTTGTAAGCTTAGCAATGGTATCACCGTTAAAATGCACTTCAGTACATGTAAGTCAGTAAGTGAACGTGTCACTGCTCATGCCGCTGTGACCGATTCTGACTCTTTAGTTCAGTAAAACGCTGTGTTGCTGGTTCAAGCGGGTCATTTCAGTCTGAAGATTATGTGTTTTTTGCACAGAGTAAGATTGAAATATTTACACTCATGTCTGTGCGATGAAAGCTACAGTGAGCTTACTTTAGCACAAAGACTGGAAAGGAGGAAACAGTTAACATGTTTTATCTCGTTTGTTTAATCTGACTAAATATCTGTGTGTCTGGCAATTCTCACTTTGACTTCAAGACTTGTTGAAGTCACTGCACCGGCCAAAAAGTAGCCAATATTTGTAGGGTTTTTGTAAAAATTAAACAAGGGATTAAACAATCAAGATACAGTGTTTGTTTTTGAGCTTCCGAGGTGCTAGTAGATGTATTTAGATTCTATGGACTGAGCAAGCAGTTAAGGAACCCTTAAGAATTCATTATCTCCCCATTGGTCGAGAGTGGGTTTGTGTACGTGTGTCGGTAAGTGATAAATCTCTGTCTGTCCGTGACTAATCTCGTACTCTGCTGCATCAAACTGCGTAATATTTCGGGTTGCCAGTTTTAGCCACTGACTCATCACTGACTACTCTTAAACCTGATTCCGTTCATTCATCGCTGCTTGTTTTTGAGTTTGAATTAGGTGTGTTTTAGAAAGCCTTACAGACTAGACGGGACGTTAGCCAATTGTGGGTTGAATTTATTCAATAATACAATACAGCAGTTGTTGCTGACACACTTGGCCGAAGTCTACACTCTACTGTTTGCACCATTCTAGTTTATTCATGTTTTCCTGTATCCATCAAATCATCAGTCTCTCTTTCCCACTCATCTGTACCTGTAAGGGAAGCCATGAGAAGGCGAAACAGAGGACGGACACCAGCAGCAGGTAGAAGGTCTTCCTCCTCTGTCTGCTCCATGCAGCCCTCGCAGATCTCAACTCCTGACATGCCGTCAAGCCTGACTTGGTCCTCTGCTTCAGCTGGTAGGATATAGCACAGTAGGAAATGGAGACTGCAGCCAGTGGGACAAAGTAGGAGAAGAGGAGAATGAAGCAGGAGTAGATGAATCGACCTCGCTCCTGGCCATCCCAGAACTCCTCACAAACGGTCATCTGCAGCCCTGCAGCCCGCAGGTCCAGGTGGACGGTGTGTAGTGCCGTAGGTGTGGATAAAGCCAGAGAGGACAGCCAGATCAGGACCACCAGACCTAAGCAGAACTGGCCCCCTGCTCTTTTGCGGATGGGATAAGCCACAACCACGTAACGATCCACTGCGATGGCCATGAGGGACAGGCATGCTGCGTAGACAGCTGCAGACTGCATGACGGTGACGAAATGACACATGTGGGGACCAAACACCCATCCACGCTGGTCAAAAGCGTAGGATGCAGTCAAAGGGACGCAGAAGACGCACATGACCAGGTCGACCAGTGCCAGGTTGCTGATGAGGAAGTTTGTGGTGTTGTGTCTTTTCTTGTTGTGCCAGATGAGAAAGAGCAGGAGGAGGTTGCCGGAGCAGCCGACCAGCACCACGGCACAGTAGAGAGGGATGAAGACGGGCTTCAGGTTGGACAGGAGGTCCAGGCCAGAAAAGGATGGGTCCGAGAACGGGGAGGTGGAGAAGAGGGGGTGAGATGAGTTGTAGCAGGAGAAGGTGAATGAAGAGTCAGACATGGATGGAGATGACGAAGAGGCTGGAGAAGAAGAGTTCACCCTGGATCGGTTCAATGACTTCTCCCAGTCCATATCTGCAGGAGCCACAATGAATAACAAACTATTTATAATCTGCAGCATATTCTGCACATATACCTAATTATGCATCATAATTGCCTGCAAATATTTGCAAAATGCATTAAACAACAATTTTATTGAACCCAAAGTGACATTAAATCTCCATAAATTATGGAGATTGGAGATATGTTTGAACAGAGAGAGAGAAACAAATTTGTGTCCATCTTCAAAACTCATACATGGGGAGAGAAAATGTGTGTATTAGCCCGACATCCCAAGAGAAAATGGTACGCACAACCTTTTAGGGGACAGATACTATAAATCATTATAATTTATGATAATCATAAAAAAAAAACAGCAACATCTGTCGAGCTGTTCATATTCCTACAAAGTCAAAGTTTGAGCATGAAAATCAATCTTGATTTGAAAAGCTGCAGGGCTTGTCAATTGCTTCCACCTCTTCTGCACATAATTACTTCCTCTCCTCTTCACTCTACACTTGTCACCTTTTTATTCACCGCTCCAAATATTTTCCATCTCATTCTTTGGAAAACATTTTGGTTTTCATAACCATTCCATGGCTCTTCTTTCTCTCTTAGCTCCATATAGAGCAGCAATATCATCCTCGGAGTCCAACTAAATGGTCATCCTGAACATCTGTTGAATCCTGTGATGTCAACCTAGTTATTACTGAGCAATAAGAGATACTAATCTGCCACTATGCATGTTAAAATGAATGTTGATTTATTGGTTCATTAACAAAAAACACATGACAGCAAAGAAGAGAATGAAAGCACTGGAGTGGTTTATATTTAAATTTGCAAGATAAGAAAATAATATCTGTCCTGCAATGAATCACACTATATATCTACACAAATGTCAAACAATCAGTATTTACAAAACTAATCTTGTCAGATTAGCCAAATTCCAAATAGTTCTAACACAAATGTGAAAGCGTCATCTGTAAATCAAAAGCCTACTGTAGAGCATGAATAAGTGCGTATTAATGACCTACTTAGGCTGACCGCACCATTTGTCGTAATGTTACTGTTCTCTTACTAAATTATCTGAATTTTACGATGAAGATTGGTTTAATCATGTACAACAATATGCACCAGACTTTTCTCATGCTGAATCAGCTTAAAGCCTCATTGACCTAACCTGATCAGCGATACATTGATTTGTACGTAATTCACATACATCAGTTTTCTTTTTTTATAAATCTCAAGAAGCCCTAAATACACAAAATAGATCTCAATCTTATCATTAAACAACTATTTATTCTCTTAGAAATAACTTCATGCAAATTTGACAGTTATCAGAGTGCATGCATTTTCGAAATGTAGGAATTAAAAGAAAGAAGTACCTCTGAGAGATGTCAGTCAGACATTTTTTAATGACTTGGACAGTCCAGAATTCATTTGTGTCCTCTGTCCGATGGGTGTCCAACTATGTGCAGCCTCACATCTTCACTGCAACCCACTCGCTTCTGAATTTAGAGGTGATCTGTCGCTCTCGCTCTCTCTCTCTCTCTCTCTCTCAGCATACAGTAAGTGTTTATGTGAATGAGTCACCTCCAGTAAAATGGCTGTCTGTCTTTATGGTCAATGGACAATCATAATCTCCTATGATATTCCTCTGGGGAACAATATGGTAATAAATAGTGACGTTATAATGACCTTGCCTTGTTTTATGGTATTTTTATGCCATGGAATCGCTATAATTTTCCTATTGGGACTTATAACGTGTCTGGTTTTATATAGTCATTTTATAGTGTTCCTTACACATTTTATGATATTATTTCTAATAGATCGTCACTCATTTTATCCTAAATTTGCCATGTAACAGAAATCTCAACTAAGTGGAAGAGCTGACATATAATTTATTACAAATGTATTATCATATTTCTGAATCCTTTTTATGAAATATCCAGCTGTGAGGTTTTTCACGATGAGGCCTCTTAAGCAAACACAGCCAGAAACCAACATTAGGGAGCATACATTAAATTGAACAATTAAGGGACAAACCACGATCTTCCTCCTGCAGTACAAACCTAAATATTTATATAACTGAAACTAATTTAGAAATTGTGAGTCTCCTCCCAAAGCAACTAAAAGAAGAACCCGTATGACTGAATCATTCATCAAGTGAGTATCTGCAAAGAGTAAAACAGGACTAGATTCATTTGCACTGGGATTTGATGGGAACAGAGGGATGATTGTGAAGAACATGAACTGGAGAAAATGAAAAATATTTAGGGATTTATAAAGCAATTTTATTATTATGCAATTATTAATCATTATACAAGTTTGAAACAAATAATGATCACCGTCAATGCAACAAAGTGTGGGTAAAGTGGGTCATCCTTTAACCACTATGTTGGCTGATGACGTGGCTCGTCCTGTTTGCATGTCAAGTGTCCTTAAATGAGACGCTGAACCCCAAGCTTCTCTCTGTACGCTTCACAGCAGCCCTGTGCTCCTAAATGCTTCGGATGGGTTAAATGCAGAAGTCAAATTGCATGTATGCACCTGTATGTACAGTATATGACTTCTGATGTTTTGCAGCACAGTATTTGCTTGTATTTACCAATAAGGATGACTTATAAGTGCTTTGAGGCATTACCTGTTTTGGAGGGATTTATCACCATGATTATTATTTACATGGCACCTTTTTTTGTAGCAACAGTTGCAATCTGTCATGTCTCAGTTCAGGCCTTTTTTTTCCCTATTAATGTTGCCTTGGATCTCTTCATTTTTAAACATTTGTATGCATTATAAATAGTTACAACAGCAAAAAGATTTCCACATTATTCTTTAACTGCCCAGCATGCTTGTTTCTGGGAATGATTTTTACTTTTGCCATACATCAAAACAGCTCCTGGCACAGTGGGCTCCATCACACATATTGCACTTCAATGGTGGGGCGTGATGGATCGTCTACCTACATGGTAGCTGTTTGTAGCCATGCCAACCGGCCTGGCTCATCACCCGTTCCTTTGCACAGTGCTACTGTTGAGCAGACAGCAACCTGAGGCACGTCCACCTATTTCACATGCACAAGTGGCTCCTCGTATGCTTTGTGAGCGCAGTCCTTCCTGATCTTTCTTTAAATTCCACAAGCCTGAATGTTCATGGCAAACAGGTCTTTGAATAGTCTTGGGCTTGTGTAGAGGTTGCCAACAAATGCATGATATCCAGTTCCCAGTTATCCAGGGTTTACTAGGGACATTACTGAGTCATTAGGCAATCCAACTCCTGAAGGAAAAGCCGTAACTGTTTAATCACTGCTATTGTCGGGCCAACACAAAAAGCTTCAAGCCCCATTTGGTTGGTTTTCCTTTCATGTAGTGTCTGTATCTTGTCTGGGCCTTGCTTGCAACCATCCGCTCATTGACACTAATGTTTTGTCCTGGGTGAAAATGGGTCTTGCAGCTATCTTTGATACTTAAGGAGGGGGGCTCAGGTGGAAAGCATGACCATGTACCTCACATTCTAGCTCTCTGTCCCTCTCTCCAGTTACATTTTCTACCTGTCCACCAGATGCACTCCGACTCTAACACCTCTCCCAGTCACCTGACACTCACATCCAGCCACTCCCTCCTGCCTTGCAGTAACTTATTTTAGCCATCACCTGCTCACCTGTTTCCACTTACCCTCAATGGCCCTGCAGATATTTAACCAGTTCTCTACCCCAATCAGTTGCCAGATTATCAGTGTTGCTTTGTGTCATTGCTTTTAAACCTCTGTTACCCTGTTACCTGAATCCCATCTGTACCTGCCTGCACTTTCCCCTTCCCCATTCCTGCTGTCGTATAGGCTCGATAGTATTTCTGTTTGGACATGCAAGTGAGGGTATGTACAGGTATGTTCTCCTTTGCAATAAACCCCTGAACTGTTGCTGTTGGCCTGCATTGCCTGCATTCAGGTCCTTCCGGTGTTGCATCGCACTCCATGTGGCTAAGACTATCACCCAAAAACCTGCCCTGGGTCAACAAAGTGGCAGGAAATCCCACAGAGGGGGGGGGGGGGAATGATAGGGACATAAATTAACAATTTCATCTCACACCATTGATACTGGATGGTGCTAATGGGTTTTACTGTTGTTCAAATATCCAACCTCTCCCCAAAAATGCATTTAATTGCAAACTCGCTGACATACATTAATTGAGATTAAACATTATTTAGTGCTTGTTGTGTTGATATATTACAATGTATTTATTTTTATCCAGAGATGACATTGATGGTTAAATGGTTGCTGAAGCTCTTTTTGTCAGGGGACACCACAGCTGGCTTTCTTCATTAACACCTTCCACAGAAATTTAATTTGAATCAATGATGGGTGCCAATCATATTTTAATTTCCTGCCATCCGCTGCTCCACACTGTCATCTGTTATCCCAGTCTAACCTATTACAACAAAGCACGGCTCTATGAGACCTCAGAAGCTGCAAGTCACTGCTTTTACTCACTAAAATCGTAATAAGCATTCTCCAGTAAAAGTTATATAAAGTCCACTCTATTTGTCAAGATAAAGGGCAGAATTTGTTCTGCCCTTGAAAGAAAAATGAGAACAAACACTGTTTAACTTGCATGCGTTGAGTTGATTTCACACTTTCTGTCCTCTGGGTCTTGGAAGATACAGCAGTCATTTCAAAGACCTCAGCTGAAATTGATTCACATTAGAGAATGAAGCCATGGTTGCTATTATTCAAATGAATGCTGCTTAAGAACATTTTCCCTGGTTGAATTGATTTTATTCAGAATAACACTGTTGCCAATTTATTAGATACCTCTAGCTAACACTAATAGTCTATTAATACAACAGCCCTGCAATAAAGCAGGTTATAATGTTAAGTTTATGTTGAAACTGTTTCAGAGAGGTGTTAATTCAACTTTGTGGGGATGTGTAACCGTTGTGTTAACTATATTGCAAACTCATGGTCAAACTAGTTCTCGTATTAACAGTTTTCAAAATGTTGGGAGTCTATTGCCTTCAGTGATCCCTCTCGGCCGCTCAGCTTGGAAACAACTGGACTGACTGATAAGCTACTATGATGTATAGGCTTCCTTTAAGTTGGGGGACTTGGGGGGAGACAGATTTGATGCAGCAGAGGCCAGTCTCCAGTTCGATTCCCGGCTGGATCAGCTGCTGCATGTCATTCCTCTACTCTCTTTCGTCACATTTACTGACACAGAGAAAGGTAATCATTTAAAAAAAAAAGTTCTTTGCCATCTAAAGATACTGCAGCGAGAAAGGCCGACCACAGGATGACAACCCTGCAACACTTTACACTGTCGACCCTCGCGCTTGCTCTTATATGCACAAATGTGTGGGAGAATATTCTAAGTTGTAATTGTACCTCAGCTGTCTAGCTAAATATAACCGTGCCCTTGCTTCAGCTTATGTGCCGACAAATAAACAGAATCAATTCTACTTTATGTTTTTATTGAAACGTGGGTAAAACTTAATTGGTAAAATGGCAAAAATAAAGATGTTACACAATATGTTACAATATTTTCAGGAATATATCACAGAGTATTCCCACTCTAGATGTCACAATTGTATAATGTCTGCAAGATGTCACAAGAGTCTCAATTACAACATGGTACTTTTTGTGCTCCTTCATCAACCTTGGCATATATATTGAATGAAGGAAGCCATTCTTGTAACATATAAAATGGGAATCAGTAAAAATAATAATCCTTCAAGGGATGAATAATAATGACTGAATACGTACTTAACACTCAGTTGCTGGGGTTACAGAGGATGATGACAGGCTGTAATTGCTTCTTTGACCACTGTTAACAAAAGCTTTGTTCAAAACAGTGCTATGACATAACGCAGCTCAAAATGAGCGTGGGGGTAACAAGTCAGCGCTACTGAATACACGCCAAATTAGTTCTTCTTTCGGTGTTACTATTTTAACACTCATTTCTCCGGGCTGTGTGCGCCATCTTCCTCGGGGTCGGCTCTCTCTCCCGTCGTGTCCTCTTCGATCTCTGTTTGGTTTGCTTCAGCCTGTTCGTTATTCTGAGACGGTCTCAGGAGATACTCCAGCTCTTCTGCGCTGATGGCCACCTTCTCAGGAATCAACCACCTCTTGAAGTTTTCAAGAGCGCTCGAAAAGAGAAGTACAAACAAGGTTTTAAGATGAGAAGGGGACTATTTGGGCTTTGGGAGACTTGAGTTAAGTTAAGGCAAGATATCCCTTTACCTCCTGCTTGTGTCCTGGCAGAAGTACGTGTGTGTATCATAATATGAAAGAATAATCTACCATCCTACCTCTCATCCATGTCACCGCTTTGGAAGATCTCCGAGGTCTGAGCATCATGCAGGAATCTATCCCAACATTCTTTCTTAGCTTGAGACAAGGAGCGCAACATGTCCCTGGATGTCACGTCACTTGACTGGCCCTTTAATTTCTTCAGGCGGTTCTCTGCACCAAAATGTAGACAAAAAAATGTAAAGTCGAAATTCTTAATTAAGGAGGGGGCATCACATTTCTGACTTTTAGTCTATATGTCAGAAAAAGAGTTAAACAAAATGCCCATCAGTACTTCGAAACCCTATAATTCCAAATATCTCACATACAACTTGATTAAGATGATGGACACTGTACTGAGGACAGGGTGAGCTGAATGTGACATGATGCATGCAGTCATGTAAGGGACAGGAAGATGGGAAGTACGCCTGTACCTAAGCTGGCTATGTAGATCTCAGAATCCTCCATGGGTTCCCATCCGGCGTTAGAAGAACTGGTATTTGTCCCATTTGAGTGTCCATTGAGCTGCAATCCGACTCGTGCGGCTGGCTGGAATGAGTCCCTGAACTCCGTGTTGATCGCCGGCGGGGCTGGTTCAGCTTGTGACTCCGGCAGACTGGAGCAGATTTCAGTCCACAGCTCCCCGCTGGACCGGACGTCCTCCTTATTCTCGAAGTCTTCAATCATTCTGGTCAACTGACTTGAGGTAGAACAGAAGTCAATGTGCATTAGCATTAGCACAATTGTGTTGATGGGTCTTTCAGCAGCATTAAAACAGGCATCGGGAGACATTTAGAATAGAAATGAAGAAAATCTGAAAGGTAAACTGCACAGGTTTCCAAATACTAAGCACAATCAAAAGCTGAGCTTTAATTTACCAAAATCTATCAACATACGTAGCTACTTTGGTGTCTAAAACCTATTTTTTTGAGTATTGTTTCCTTTCAAGTGTTTTTAAACGGTTCGTCATCATAATGATTTACAAACATGTCTTACCTGTGTGATGCTCTCAATAGAATAACCGTTATTTCTTCTAAAGTATGATTTTAAAGATGAAAGACTAGCCTCGCTAGCTAACTGTGTCCATGATCCAGTGTCTTAAATGGGGGACGTCCACTTCCTTATTTAGTGTCATATGATTAGACATTATAACCGTCCATCAAACCTTTCTAAAATATGATTGGATCTCTGGGGCGTTAAATTGGAAACCCGCATCTTATTGGTCAAGGGCTGTGTCTCAGAGAAGAGAGTCCGGAAGTTAGTTCCAGCTGGAAGGAACTCACACGGCGACGAACTATCAAGGTAAACAAGTACTGCTGGTCTCTGTTTGATTGTTTTATTCGCGAGTATTGATCATTTGAAGAACTGATATTAGCATATATTATAGGTTTATCACTTAATGTTAATTTGTTTGTTTCGCGATACAATATGGTGGCTAACTGTCAAGTTCACTTTAATGTCATTACTTTGTTATGCTAAATTCAGTTCTGCTTGGACTGATTGTTAACCTGATTATGACTGACTATTAAATGTGTGTTACGATTATTTGTGTGTTATGTAGGTTTGCAAGCGTTGATCGTCATGTCCCTGCAGGAAGAGCCAGTGTAGGAGATGCACGCAGCTTTGCGCCTGGCAGTAGTGGCAGTCCCGATGGGTGTGCTGCTGTCCCGGACCATGGCGTGGATGTCCAGCGGCAAGACTCATCCAGAGCTCATCAGCAGACTGAGGGGTAATGGGCAGATCTCAGGGACCTAAGCTTTGATATTACAAGGAATTGACTTACTACCTCAAAGGTCCACAACTAAACATATGTTGAGTGTGGCAGCTGGTGCGTTTATAATGTAAATAAAGAAAAGGGGATGAGCCTCTCTTTAGTAATATGGAGGATCATTTAAAAGACACGTAGTGTATTGTATTATTCACAATTAACAAGACCAAAAAGGGCTGCTGGATATTGAACTGACAAATGGATACTCTTGTGGCAATTTAAAATTTGAAAGTTAAATTTAGACCATGTGATGGAAAAGATAAAAAAAAACAGTTTATAAGAAAATTGAAAGGAAAAATGCGTGGGGGGGGGGGAATGAAATAATGTTATCCTTTGTTATTCTATTAGTTTATTTAACTGTAATGTAGCCTTTAAGACAAGGGAAATACATGTATGCTTTATCATGATGTTACGATGACCGAAATCCCACACAATTATCAAAACATTGT